TTTGTCAGACTCGGAATAAATCTGGCTTGTGCAAGAGCGAAGTGTCACACTCCAAGAGCAGCAACGGCAGCATGCGGAGACCTCCCCGGGCTGCTGTGCTTTGTCATGCCTGGGGCATGTGTGGGCCTGAGCTGCCTGTCAGGGCTGCCTGCACTCTGGCAGAGAGGGATGGTGACTGAGGCAGAGACTGTATGCCTGCTGTGTGTCTCTGGTGTGCCTGAGCAGCAAAGTCTGTGCTCATTTGGGTATGGAGGGTGCCAAGGACCGTGGTCCAAACCTCTCCCACTCAATGGGGTGGCTCATGGCAAAGCCCCTCCTCGAGGCCAAGGGCTGGCTGAGCTCGAATGGCCAGAGCTGGCCAGGGGGCCAAGAGGCTGTTCCAGCCTCCTCCCAGCCTGATGTGTGTTCTCCTCCCCAACAGATCGCTCGATGAGCAGCTCGCTCTCTGCCTCCCAGCTTCACACCGTCAGCATGAGGGACCCGCTGAACAGGGTGCTAGGTAATGGTGGGGCTGGATTCCAGTGGGGGTACCCAGTGGTGAGGCCTGGCCATGAGGTTGGATCCAGCCATTCCGACACTGGTGGGGACCTGTCCCCTTTGCAGGAGGCTTGGACCACCCCCAGCCTCCCTGAACTGGCGTGGCTTTTGATGTTTCCCTGTCTCCACAGCAAACCTCTTCCTGCTTATCTCTTCCATCCTGGGGGCCAAGACGGCTGGCACCCACACCCAGTTTGTCCAGTGGTTCATGGAGGAGTGCGTGGACTGCCTGGAGCAGGGCAGCCGCGGCAGCATCCTCCAGTTCATGCCCTTCACCATGGTGAGTCCCATGGCTGTGACATCCTTCTCCGTGGCTGCAGGGTGCTCTGTGACGCTGGTCTCATGGGGAAGACAGGCACCTCCGGGGGAGTCCTGCTGTCCGGCTCTCATGTCTCCAGCGCTGTCGTGAGTCAGCTGTGTTTCTTCTCTCTCCGGGTAGGTTTCGGAGCTGGTGAAAGTGTCCACCATGTCCAGTCCCAAAATTGTCCTGGCCATCACGGATCTCAGCCTGCCCCTGGGCCGTCGTGTTGCTGCCAAGGCCATCGCTGCGCTGTGAGTGTGGCACCTCCCTTCTGCTGTGCAGGAGAGGGCTGCCAGCCAGCTGCTGGGAAATCCATGAGAACCTGGATGCTGGGACAAGCTCTCTGTCACCGCGGGCTCGGCCTGGCCCTGCCCGGGGGCTGCTTTCCTCTGCATTTGGCCTCCCAGAGACATCCCCTTGCTGCCTCATGATGGGCTTTCAGAGACTGATACAAACCCCCTGCTTTTTTTGTATAATTAATTCAGTCATTTTGTAGAACCAGGCTTTGCTTCATTTCTGTTTCATTTCCTGACTGCAGCCCAGGGCCCTGGGGCTTCCCAAAACCCTCATCTCAGGGCAAGCTTGATGGTGGGTGTGATGGGAGAGCAAGTGGCTAAGACCTGCACTGGCCAGGGGAGGAAAATCACACTTGCTCTGTCCCTAACCTGCCTGCCCTGACCCCAGAGAAGCCCAGGAGACTGGTGGGCTGCCTGTGATGCTCCACTTGGGGAGCGGGTGCCTGCGGCCGGCCAACTGCAGATGTGCAGCTGGGTGGAGCGGAGATGCTTTCCTGCCACGCTGTAAGCTGCAAGCAAATTCTTGTTGGAAATTCCTCCACGTGAGCATGAGTTCACCCCGCGTCCCCGGCTTTGAGCACGGCACCCAGCGGCCAGTGAGTAACTGCAGCCTTGCCAGCACCACGCCAGCCTTGTGCTGGGAGAGGCTCCTCCGCGGGGCTGTCCTGGCACCCAGTCAGCTGCTTTGGCGGTGAATCTGCCTGTAACTGTCACGAAACCCCGACCCTGAGGGGGTGGCAGGGCCAGGACAGCTTCGCCTCCGCTCCTTTCATTTATGTTTTCTGCTTGACTCATGAGAAAGGGGGAAGCAGTGCCTGGGGTAGCCAGGCACCAGCCTTCCCCTTGGGGTGCCTCAGCTCTGAGCCCCAGGGATGTGACTTCTGCCCCCCTCGGCATTAGCGGGGTTCACGGCCCCTGTTTTGGGGGCTCTGAAGAAAGTGCTTTGGTGGTGGAGGGGGTGAGGCGGTGCAGGGAGGCCCCGGAGCAGTGCCACAGGGTTTGGGTCAATGCTGGCCGGGGAAAAGGCAGCTGGATGGTGACTCAGGGCCTGCCTGACCCCTGCGTGCTCCCCGGGATGATCTCAGCTCTTTGCTGATGGGCTTTGCTAGAGAGAGAGACCCTGATGCTGTCAGCAGAGGAGCTTTGTTGCGCGTGGGGTGGCGGTGGGTGATGGCTGGTCTTTGGCCGTCGCACAACTGAGCATCCTGCCCCATCCCGCTGCCTCCTGTGAGTTTGGCCCTGAGCTGGCAGCAGGCTGGCACTCACTGGCCCCGGGTACGAGGGCATACAGAAAGCGGGTCGCAGGGCTGGGTGGAGCGGCTAGCGGAGCTGCCGCACGCACCGGGGTGGGACATGGGGAGAAGGGTAAGTAGGGCGAGGGCTGGCCTGCTGGAGGGCTTGGTGCCCACACTGTGCCACGGCTGGTGCTGCTCATCACCGGGCCTGACTCGGGCATGAGTCCTGTGCTGAGCTGGCACCGACCTGCCCGGGCACCTCTGCCCTGGGCCGGTGACAGTGCCTGCTCGCCCAGGGGCGGCTCTTTACCGTTAGCTCAGAGCAAAGACCAGGACCTGGTGCTCTTGGCCTTCCTAGCTTTGTCAATATTTGCCGCCGGCAGCACCGCGCTCGGCATTGGTGCCCAGTGCTTCACCTTCCAGGAAAGGGCTGGAGCAGGAGAAGGGGTTTCCTGTAAACTCTGATAAGCCGGGGGAGGAAGGAGCGATTGCTCTCGCTGGTTGCTCTCCTGGGAGCCGCTGCAGACAGGGTGTGCAGCCAAACAAGCGTAGGCAGCAGCTTCCCCGTAGCAGGATGATGGTGATGGTCCAGGACGGGGCTGCGGGTGGTAGTGGGGCTCCGACCTCGTGCCTGCCCCTATCCAGGGCTGGGAAATTGGGGGAAAGCAGGAACAGGGACCTCCTGGCACCCACCAGAGCTTGACTCTGTCTCCGCTGTGGCTGTGCTGAGCGCGGTGCGGGGATGCCGGCAGTCGCAGGCTGCAACCACGGGACCAGTGGGAGGAAATGGGTCTGGTGCAAGCCTAGGAGCACAGGGCCAGCCCACAGTGGCCGAACACCTGTGGGGGAGTGGGGAGAGGCTGTGGGCCGGCTGGGGATGGCGGTGAGGGGAGAGGCTTAGGTCTCCTGGCTGTGCCAACTTCACTTGGGCACATCGTTTGTCCATCCACCTTGCCTTTCTCACTGCTGGAAGTCCCGTCCCATCGTGGCGGCTCCAGGAGGGCTCCAGGCACCAACCTGGGCAGCTCTGGGGCAGATTCGCCTTGCGGCAGCAGCAAAAAAGGGATGGCCAGCCACCCCACCACCACTGCCACCAACCCCAGGACCGGGTTGGCTTCGCTGCTGCAGAGCCCTGAGCGCTCATTACACCTGTGTTCGCCCTCCCGGCACTCCCTGCATGGCGCAGGGATGGTCTGCGCTGCCAGGGTGGGGGTGAGGCCCCCACACCAGCTGCCTGTGGGTCCCAGCATGGTGCTGGTGCCAGGGTTGCTCCCCGGGGCATCCGCCCTCGGCTTGGCAGTGCCGGCGCAGGCAGGCTCTGGTGCTTTCTAGGAATCGGCTCTTGCCCAAGTGGTGCTGCTGGGTGTGGGAGGAAGCTGCCACCCCCAGGCAGCCACCCCCGCCCCCCCCC